GTGAAATGAGGACCCAGACTGTGGGGGCGATATGCTGACTCTGTAAACCGCTTAGAGAGGGCTGAAAGCCCTATGAAGCGGTATATAAGTCTAACTGAAAGAAAGTAAAGGGTGGGGGGAGCCATTTGTTCCTCTGCATTAAACCCTAACCATGTAGACTCCTCCTCATTCATGTCCCAACAGAAGCATAAAGGTTGCAGTGTTGCAATCGCTTCCAAATTGCACAAAAACACACAGCCCGGATGCAAATAAAAGTCAACAATGATTATCTCTTTATTCCATAAAATTCTGTTAGCTCTTCATATAATAAGCAGGCTATTTCCTCAATTCTAAATAGCTGGTTTGTTGTAATAAAATCAGCCCCAGGTATATATATATCAGCTGGAGCAAGCACAAAGATGAAAGGTGAATCCAATTGCAGGTAGTCCTCATTTAGCGACCACAACTGGGGCCACTTAAGTGAAAACCACAGGACTGCAACTGTGCTTAGTTCAGTTTTTTGCTATCTATATATAAAAGCGAAATACCACTCATGCATCGTCACAAAATCTCCAGAACCGTAAAGCCTACAAACTTGAAATTTGCCATGTATTTTCCTCTTGGCTTCTAGGTGTTCGCTGAGAAAGGATTTGTCAAAATGACCATCGGATCATCAGTATTTCTTAAACACTCTTATATTAACACATGTCGATGCTAAGGCATTTGACATTCTACTGCCCCTCCCCACCTGAAAAGAACTCTGTTCCAACTGCCAGTTGCCTTATATTAACACACTCTGATGCTAAGGAGTTATACATTCTACATTAATGTCCAAACTTTAAGTCTCAAGCCCAATCACATAGTTTTGTAGCTAAGCACAGGTATCCAGCTAGTTCTTAATATTTCCTTCAGCCAAACTACGATTCTCTCCCTCTCTTGGTGTTGGGTAAAGAAAACAAGTGAAAATAAAACAGAGAGACAGTGTGAAAAGTTGTAAATGAAAGGATTGGTGGTTAAGGGTTTGGTTGGTTGGTTTTTTTGTACTGCGGTAACTTCAAATGGTCGTTAAACGAGGCAGACACTACCCTTACACAATTCCATCTTCCCTTAAATCACCACATTACTTTCATTCTAATTTTTTTTTTAAAAAAAAGAATCTGAGATGGCTTTCATTTGATGCACAGAGCAATTTTGTTTTGGCTGAAGAAAAAACAACAACCCACAAATTTAACATGGCTAAACACTTTTAACAGAAACCTCCAGAACAAGTTAAAAAAAAAGTTTTTCCACAAATCTCATGCTGTATGACTGCGTTTGAATAAAGAGCTTTTTTTCCCTTTTGATTTACACTGGTGATTAATTGCTTTAGCCTTTCCTGCTGATTGTCGTTGTGCTCTATTCACCATTCTTTTCTCTTCTCTTCTCCATTTTATTCCGCATTCTATTCTAATTATTATTCTATTGTATTCGACTCTAATTCTTCATTCTATTCTATTCTATTGCATTCTACTCTATTCCATTCTGCATTTTATTCTATGAGATAATTAGATTTGAAAGATAGATAGATGGAGGGAGGGAGGGAGGGAGGTAGATAGATGAGAATTAGATTTGATGGATGAATTTGATAGAAGATAGATAGATGAGAATTAGATTTGATGGATGGATGGATGGATTTGATAGAAGATAGATAGA